CAAAGCTCCACTCGCCTGTCCCTCCAAGGAACAGAGCATCGCCCACAGCTGAGCTTGCTCCTTTTTCCCAAGGATGCTGACTCTTCATCGCTGGCACGACGGGGAGAAAATAAAAAGTAACACTGCTGAGTTTTCTTTTTTTTGTAATGGGACATTACCATTGTCGTGACTTACAACTGTTACACAAAGCAGTACATCCCCCCCCCCCTCCCTTCAATTCATGGGAAAAGACTTCCCTGCGTATAGAACGCCTCCTAGCTCCAGAGTGCCACCCTGGGACCTCCCAATGCTTCTCCCATCATTGGCCCCATCCAATTTTGAAGCATTGCAAGGAGTGGCAACCTGGGGATGGCCTAGTCTTCCGCCTTCAAATCATGTTTAAACTGGACCAACAAATTCCTAGGCTCTTGCCCCTAGAAAAGGCCTGTTGAGTTCACCATTCCCAGCCCCCTTCTCCAGCCCCCTGCTGCTTCGTGGCCCTGCAACAGAGGACCTTGCCAGGATGAATGGACCCCATGAGCTCGGACACTGCTGGTTTAGTCTCTTGGGCTCTTTAACCAACTTTTCCAGTCATGAAGGGATCGGTTGGTCCTCCCTCTCTGCCCGAGTAGATTCTTAGTTCTTTTCCCCCACTGTGTGTCTTTGTGTGGCCACTGCCATGCCCTCAGCACACCCTCGGGAAGCTCACCCCGCTTCCGGTTCTGGGAATCATGCTTTGCTGCGTGCTTGTTCTTCAAGCCAAGCCTTTGCTGGAGCAGAGATTCCCAACTAGTTTCGTATCTGGCCACTTTAGAGGTTCTAAGCTGCTCCATGCCTCCTAATTACTGTATTTTTCAGAATGTAAGACGCACCAAGATTTTTTTTTAAAGTTTTTGCGCTCTGCAGATCCCCCCAAACCCTCTGCATGCCTCATTTTTTTGTGAAAACGGGGCATGGAGAGAGTTTGAGAGGCCTGCGAAATGCTCCTGGGGGCTTGAAGGAGGGCAAAAATGAGCAAAAAAACGGCCAGTTTTTCATGAAAATGGACCCGTTTTTATCACAAAAAGGGCATGCATACCCTTTAGGAGGCTTCTAGAGTGCTCCTGGAGGTTTTTTTTGGGGGGGGGGGAAATGAGCAAATAAAAGGCCCATTTTTCATGAAAATTGACCCATTTTTTGTCACAAAAAGGGCATGCATACCCTTTAGGAGGCTTCTAGAGTGCTCCTGGA